AGTGACTTGGTATCATGTCATTGGAGAGTGCATGCCGATCTGTTCTCCATGGTCGGAGGGTCAAGTAGCTTGTTGTTGTGTTGGATAGTGAGCAGCCGAAACTGTTATCTCCCATCATCAGAAAGATATCGAAATAAGCGTGGGTATGCACGCTCGAAAAGGAATCACGCTGAACTGAAAAAAGAAAGAACCGAAAAGTCAGCCTCATTGTGACACTTTTTTGCGCCATTTCGCCGTTGTGTACTTACAAGCTTTCACCATGAACCGCGCTACCAGAGTTGAGTACTATGAGGAAGGTGCCTTGATTTTGCTACTGATGTCTTGCTTGAATACTATCGATACATTGTTGAGTACGGGGCATCACGTGCCGAAGAAAGAAACATAAAATATTGGCTCACTATTGAGCAAAGTCAATGCCACAACAGCGATATCCATTGGTTTCGGCAGTTTTTCATTGATCGACGGCAGTTACTGTTGGTGAACACACAACAACACATTTTATGTTTCTTTCACCTCACAGAGATAGAGCATTATCTACTCTATAAGATGGAATATAACAACATGGACATGCGATGTGCTTTTCGAGGAACGGCAATCGGTCTAAGCTAGCCTCACAATGGAGTTTTCTCACTTTTCTTGTCGTGATAATGCTAGTAAGCGGTGCATGTTTCACACTTTTAAGAAAACACCCCGTGGGACATCCTTAATCAGAAAGGGTTTGTTGTATTCAGAAACTAGCAGTAGTGTTTGTGGAGATTTTCCTTCCTGAGTGACAGCCTTTGCTAGCTAGCGAGGTGCGTGCGATCACTCTGCGATGCGAATGATTCAATCACCTATCGAGCAGCGAGCTCCTCCATCTTCATGTATCTGGCAACTCCTTCAACCGTGTCATCCTCAAGCCCGGTAACAATGGCGTCAGCCAAGGTCTCTACACGAACGGTCTTGTCAACAAAGGGGACCCCAAGCGCATTCGCAATGTTGAAAACTGGAATAATGGGCAAAACATCCAACTTGTCCCAAGACCAAATGAGAGAAGGGCGAACGATGACAGGCCTCACAGCGGTGGATTTGCTGAGCCGGTCCTCCACAGCTCTCTTTGCAATAAGATATTTCTGTAACCATGCCGGTGCGAGCTTTTCTTCCACAAACTCTCCAAATTGAACATCAGGCCATCCGGCTTCGGCACAAGAGACGAATGCCAGAGGCATTTTCTTCCCTCCCTTTTTCATGCGATTGACCGGACTTTCAGCAGCATCCAGAATGTTAAACATGGTTTTGCGTGTGATATTGTCGTATGTGCTGGAGTCGCCAGGCTGAGACTTGGATCCTGAAACGATGTTGTTGAGGCCCTGAAGGCCACTATCGACATCAAACAAAAGTCCCACCGCATGAACCACGGCGTCATTGCTTGAAACAAATTTGCTGATTGTTTTGGAATCGGTAGCATCGCCCTTTGCCCAGGTCACTTCATCCAGAGCAGTACCAGGACGAGGGTTAGTTCCTCGACGGGACACCGCTGTCACTGTATATCCTTTGTTGACCAATCTCTCGCACACTTGAGAGCCCACATACCCAGTACCTTTCGCGACAAGCGCGGCGGCGTTAGCATCACGTCGACAGCAAAAGTGCAGAGAACCAACCAGCAGCATAAGTGCAGACAACCGGCATCAAAGCAGAGCCGTACGACATATAGAGGAAGGCAACTTACCTCCAAAAACGACAACTCTAGAGCTTGGAGCCAAAGCCAATACTGCCGGGTTGGTCGCAACCAACAAGGAAAGAACGAAGCACAGTCTGTTGATCATCATGGTTGAAGTTTCTTCCTGATTGTGATTCAAAAGGGTTTCTCTGGTTGGCCGCCAATGAAGTGTGCTCTTCGGGTGATGGCTGACTCACAGAGGGTTGGGTGGTTGTTGTTGTTGTTGTTGTTGCTGTCCCCACCTCCAAAATGATCTCGCTCTCGGCGCTCAATGAGGCCATCACTGACTCACATCCTGTGACCCCGTCAGCGCCAGTGTGAGATACGGCAAAGAACGGTATCTCTATCCCTAACTTCGTTTTGCACAGTTCAACCTCAGACAACGACGACACACCCGCGTCTGGGCAATCAACACCTGGACCAGTGCTCTCCAAGCCGCCGACACGCAGCAACAGTGGTGTTAGTATTTAAAAAACGCTGAGTGGTCCACCTATGCGCGTTGCCACCTCGAGCATAGTGGCCGCATGCCGAGGTGGATTCCGGAGCCACCACTTCAAAAGAAAAACAGGACGGAACGAACTTGGACCAGACGATCCCCGACAGTCGCCTTGGTTGTGGTTTCAAAAACATCTGCAGTTTTCGCGCCTCTGGCCTAAACCAGTACCGGTATAAGGAACTCTACTGCGACAACAAGTGACTCGACTCACAGCAACAACTAACTAATCAGCCTGCGGTCGGTGGATCCACCCCAAGATGGCTGGCATCCAAGCAAGCCACTTGAAAACCCTCCCTCGTGAACAGATCTTTTTGCCACAGTAACCTCTTGAACGGCTCTTCTGAAAACACCAGCTTCGCTGTGACAGAAGCCCGCACTTTCGCCTACGGTGCGCATGGTTCAGAGCAGAAGAAGGCGAAGGCTCACGTCTTTCCATGGATTGGGGGGGGGGGGGAGAGATGGGGCCCGTCCCGAGGACAGACACAAGGAACTGGAATTCTCAAGTCAGTACATGTGCTGCCGTCTTGCGTCAATCTCCATTTCTGACGAAATTAAGAGTTCGAGTCAGCACGAAAATGAAAACGCAAGCTTTAGATTAGTTTGTTGCCAGTGATTTCTGAAGCGAAGGCTGGGGTTGGGGTACCAGACACCGCGCCAAGAAATCCATTCAAATGACCTTTCTAGCTGTAGTCCTGGTCTTTGAATTCTTCTCGTAGCTTAGCCAAGCCCCTTATTTGTTTTCTCTTGGTAGAGCCGGTGACTGAACTGTTAACAGACTCTCTTACGCCCGTGACGGACCCGCTTACGACAGAAGTGACCGAGCCTCCCACGCCTGTACCAATGGCCATGATACTGCCTCTGATTCCCTTGCCCACATGGCCCACGCCCTCAGCGACGCCTGGATGTTGGAGGAATGACATCAACGTCAGGATGGAACATAGAACCAAAATCGATGAGTCTTCAGCATGCGCACTTACCTGTTGCGAGGGCTTTACCATCGCCCGTCGTGATACTCTTGCCGACACCCTTGACAATCCTGGATCCTCCACCAGTCAAACCTCCGAAGAAATGCCCAAGGCCTTCGCCAGCTCCTTTGAACAAGCCGCCGGCGCCGTCTGCAATTCCTGAAGCGGTCCCTCCAATGGCACCGCCAACCCCAGATATCACAGTTTTCGTTCCTGCACCAAAATCGTGCGCTCCCAACAGAGCTGCCCCATTTTCAATATTGTCGCCAAGGGCATCAAAGCCCCAAGTAACGCTCTTGTGCAAACCAGCGCCTGCCTTATTGAGAGCAAAAGCCACAGAGTTACCAGCCACGGCACCTGTCACCCTGAGGACGTCACCATCCACGAATTCATCGTCGCCACCGTCACGCGACGCCAGATTCTTCCAGTCACCAAAACTGGCAGCGGCAAGGATCGTTACAACTTTCAATTTCATGCGTGACAAGTAGACTGCCGAGAGAATCTCGATCAGACGGTCCATCGGTCCCTTGACATTGTACTCTTCATATCGTGCAAAATGGAGATCGCAGTTGTCAATCGTGAACTTGAGCTGCTGTGTGAAATATCGCATCAGGTTTGCTCCCCTATTGTTGATCATTTCCTTGTATCGCTCAGCATCTGGCCTTCTCTTGAAGCTGACCAGAATGCTGAACGGGGACACTCGTGCCTTTGCAATGTCGTAGATTTTCGCTATTTGCGGCCCCGTGTGTTGGACGATCAGGTCCTTGGAAAAGGCGGGGACAAAGGCTTCAAGCGCCTTTTCATATTCATATTCACCTCCATCTGTAGGGTGCGCTCCTTCGGAGCTTGCGTGGATGATGCGGTCGGCCAAATCGATGAGCTTCCAGACGAATGCTTCGCTGGTTTGCAAACACATCTTGTCACCGCTTTGATCATCGCCTACCCCGGAATGGGCAAGAATCAAATCAAAGAGATCCACCGTTACATTGCTGGCATAGAGCGGACCTTTCGTACGGAGGCAAAAGTCCACAAAGCGATTCTTTCCCTCGAAACTGAAGACCAATGGAAATGGGCTGTTGGGAGTTTCATCTGTGATTTGAAAGTGTTCAATGATGAGGGAAAGCTGACACCTTTCTGGAATGTCATTCTCGTTCAACTCTTCCTTCGGCTTGTAAAGCTTTTGCACATCGTACACAACACTATTTAGTGTCAGCGTGCAGATTGGTAGCTCGGTGCGTTTGTAAACGTCTGTGCTTCCGGTTGGCTTTCGCAAAGACTTCGCTAGAGCACTTCGCGCGACGCTTTGCTTTGTGGCAGCACCAGCGTGCTCGACTACGCCTTTTCCATCGGAATCGAGGTTTTCAAAGACAGCTTGGTTCAATGTCAACGCGAATTTTTCGGCCTGGATTCGAAGTCTTATGTTGTCCTCGTTGAAGCTGGTTGGCAAGTACCCCAAGGGGTTAACCGGTCTTCGTTCTATCTCACCCACTTCGCCTAATCTGATGACTAATCTTGAGTCAACAGTTCCAATAGAGGTCTGAACGGCAAGGCTGCCGCGACTTGCGCCTTCGGGAGTCTTCACGAGTTCAATGTGGAGTCCAAGCTCTTCCAGTCTTAGCGGCTTTGTCGATCCTCCCAAGGCGTCGTATTGAAAGGATAGCAACAATCCTTTCTGTCGATCAACAGCAAAAACTGGAGCGGACTGATTCGGCGCGACACTCACGTCATGACCACCTGCTTGCTTCACCACAACTCTTAGGCGAGGATCCGCGTTGTAGACAATGAATTCCGCGATTACATGTAGCTCTGATTGAAAGGATGAAATGAGCTTGCGATAGAGGAAGATGCCGGACTCCTTGCCGTTATCCCATAGCAACGGCGTCGCTTGTGCACCTCCTTCCGTCATCGACACCTCTTCGATCCTGAAAATAGACGACCGTTGCGTTCGGTCTGCTCCTCGCTTTGCCAGACGTAACGGGATCTCGCTGGTCGGAAGAAGGGAAATGCTTTGTTGGCTTCCCTTCGGTGTGAAGTCTCCGAAAGGAAGTGGAGCCTTGCCGTTCTGGTTGGAGCTCCTGAAAAATCCTTTTGATTTCGTGACTAGCTGTTCGAACAGCACGCCCTTTGTATGGTCGACCGCATAATTCCCAACAGTGAACAAGAAAGTCCTCGCAGTGTGATTCGAAATCTTTTCCGGTTCCAACAAGTCAAGATCCCCGTCGTCGTTAATCCGTTCCAGGAAAAAGTTCGGCAGACTGCTGTTGGCTTCGGCGATGAAGAATTCGTTGCCTGGAGTCCCCGTTGAAGAGAGCACCTCCTGCTCCGCAACGAATGGGAGTAAGCACAGAATGGGCTTCTCCAATGATGCAACCATTGGAATTGGGATCCATTGTCGTGTAACCCCGAGAGGTGTGCCTCTGCGTGGTGACTCTGAGCTTCGCACCTTGACTTGGAGCGAGTCTCCAGCCGAAAATACTTCAATCTTTCCACTGGGATATCCAGACGAAGCGATATGTGAGCGGGAAGCTGCAAACACGGCAAAACGGGAGAATGCGTCCAAAAGAGAGCGTACTTACCCCGGCTCCAGATCGTGGACTTTGTCGCTTCCACCTGACTTGCCGAGTGTGTGTTGACTGTAGCAATGCGGAACTCGGGTCAGAACTGTTATGTTTATGGGGAGTGTGTTGACAAGCTGCGAGCGAGGCTCAAAAGATATAAACGAAACCAATTTCACGCCTTGAATCAATTGTAGCTTCACATTTGCCTGGAGAGCGAAACTGTGGCTATCATCGTTGTCTGCCGAGCACACCACATCGATTCGTGAACGAATAGTATTGTTTTCCGCTTTCTGCATCATCTCAACATCAATCTCCACGCAAAACTGTCCCGACACGCGAGACTCAGATCCTCCAAGTTGGGGCGACACCTTGAAAATGGCGCTTGCGTTTTTCTTGTCAGCCCACTCCTTGACGACCTGATCCATCCCCTCAAATCTAACTCCCATTCTCCGAGACGAAGTCGTTAAAGTCCCGCCCTTTACATCGTACGGCACTAGCTTGTGCTTCTTGTTGTCTTCCAACAGGCTCGACGTAGGCGAACACATGCCGATATCGTGGGTCTTCGATTCATGCTGGAAAGCAACGTGGATGGGTATCGGTGACCTGTTCTGCATGTACGTGTTGCTTGAAAGACGCACGACAGTACTCTTCCCTTCTTTGACGACTGTAGTTACCAACGTGGTTCCATCATCGATGATGTGACACCTCTTTGGCTGACCCAACTGATGGTCTATGTTCTTAATCTTGATTTTGTTGTCTCCGATCATTATGGTGATGGGCTGATCGTCTAGAACATCTTGTCCATACAACCGCTTCCCACCCTGGCCACTGCCTTTGGGAGGATTGAACCTGAGTTGGGGGGGATGAAAACCGTCGTCAGTCTTGCTGCACCCTCTCCCTGCGACGTGCAGAAAAGAAGAAAAAGAAGAACTTACCGGAAGTAGGTTTTTTGCCCGTTGGGGCAAGCGTGAGAGGGGCTCCCGGCCTGACTGTGGGCCAGTGAATATTCGACGTCAACACCTGAGTAATTGTCAAGAGCATATGGTAGAGCCGCAACAAGATTTCGGGTGCTGTGACTCCTCGGCTTCTTAGCAGAATCCAATGAATCCCCCTTTTTTTCATCGCTTTGAGTCTTGGCATTGTTCTCCTGTTCTAACTCAGCGGACATGGCCACCATACGGTTTGCAGATCCCAAACCAATAAGGAAATACTCAGAGAAGGATAGATGCATGGGCCCAAAGTGGATGTCTGTTTTTGCGCTGTAGCGTCCGTCGCTCTTTGCCCCTCTGTCGGGAACACGTTCACTTTTGAAAGCGATTTCCCATGGCTCCTTCAGAAGTGGGTTCCATAAGTTCACCGAAGGATCGTAGTAGTCTGCCAGAATTTTGGAATGAGCCTTGACATTGAAAGTCGTTTGTGTCAACATGGCATTGTCAAGGTCACACATGTTGGCGATCAAGCTCCTCGTGATGAACTCTTCAGTTTGAATCCGGAACAGGGCTTCGTCGAGACCCTGGGAATAATAATGCAGCCAAAACAGTTAGTGAACGAATTGAGCGAATGTAGCCAATCGTATGATCATCCAGACTTCTCTTCCTCTTATTTTCCTTACCTGCAGGTCATTGATGATTGTAAGTTTGGTGCGAGGCACCTTCACGTTTATCGAGAAGATGGTAGAACTTGCATTCTCTTTGATAATCCCATCGTTGGAAGGAAGCTGCACTTGGGAAGGTCTCTTTGCTGGTGTCGGCCTCTCGTCCTCGTCTCCGTTGTTGTTCTCCAGGGCCGCCGCCATGGCTTCGATCTCCTGCTTCTTTTCTTCATCGAGGGTTTCAAGAGTAACACTCTCAGCATTTGTTCTCTTGAGACCATCTTCCAAGCACTGGGACACCTCTGCTGAGATTGACTTGATCAGGGCCATGTTCCTCATCGAAAAGGTCAAGTCAATCTCGCCATGACATCTTGCTTTCAAGTCAGCTTTCTTCGTATGCAATCCTTGACTGATCAATCCAACCTTCAAGCTTCCCGTGACAGGTTCTAGAATCTGGAGCGGCCTACGCAAGTCTCTCCCAAAAGCACTGTAGAGCTGAAAGTCTTGGCCTCTCAGTTCCACCGTGCTGCTGGAGGTGTTTCCGGTCATATCACTGGCCGTTTCAAAGGAGAGCTCTAGCCCACCTTCCAATACCAAACCTTCCGCAATGCTTTGAATGGGAGATATTGATCCTGACTGACTGCCCTTGGCGTTGAACCCTTTGCTTTGGAAATCCCCAGAGTCATAAACGACAACGGAATACCGTTCTGTGGTGATGTTCAAGTGCATTGTCGTGAAGAGAGTCGAATGATTGCCAAGGCTAGTTTCAACTGTGTTTGTGACATCGTCAATTTCAACTTTCACAGACTCTTCTCCGCTGTCTTTCGTGACAATGATTTGTTCAGTGCTGGGTGCTTGAGGGGCACTGTCGTTGCTGGCTGCAGCATCGGCCTTTGGCGTCAATGACGGCTTGGCGGGAGCAGCCGCGTCACCACCTCGTACGGATTCGAGGGTCTTCATCCAGGCATTGTACACTTGCAGGGTCATGGTCAGGTGATTGGGAGAAAACTTAAAGTTGGAAGAGGGAATCGACGCGAAAACGCAAGCACGGGGAATACTGCTCGCCACAACACTCTCAATGGCAAAGTCAAATCGAACAGTGATTGGTTCAATGATGGATTCATCTTGATTGTGGACCATCATGCCGTCTTGATCCGATCGAATCTCCCGCCACTTCTCCGCTTTTCCAACCAAGAGTGTCATGTTTACCAGTTCAATTCTGCCATGGTCCACCACTTTTCCCGTGAACTCTGGATTGTTCTTATTGTCATCCCTGTTGTTGGTTAGGTCGTACGAACTTGCGTCGCGAGGATTGTCTTCCAGCCACTTGTCGACTTTTCCATTGATGTCGTCCTTCAACCCGGTCTGGAATCGGAATGCTCCCAGGTCAAACACACAGACGCTGGCATTTGGATCGGAGCAGTTCTCGGGCAGGATGAGAATGGGCGCCTTGAGATTCAAATCGATCGTTAGCAACGTCTTTTCCTTTGTCTTTTTCTGCCAAGCATCTACCAGCGCATTGGAGATGTCTTCGGCGTAATCGGAAGAAACGTTTGCAGCCGTTGTTGTAGTTTCATCCTTCTTGCCATCATCTTTCTCCTCATCATTGTTGCTGCTGCTAACTTCTTCCTTGATCTCTTCAATCTGAGGAAGAAGACTGCTGCTGTCGTTGTTCTTGTGCGGCGACGGAACCTTGACAAAGTCCATGACTTCCGACAACAAATGAGGTGCCACTACAATTTCAAACGGCACCAACTTGACGGTCAATTTCTTATCGCCCGTCTTGGCGTGGGACACGTGGACATGAAAGGCGGGTTCTTCTTCTTCCTTGCTGGACACTAGAGACCGCAGTACTTTGGGGAACAAACTGGACGAGTGCAAATGATCGGACACTTCCAAACTTTGCAAACTGTGTTCAAAGGTAAAGGTTCCTCCTTGGTCAGCATCAAATGTGGACGATGCCGTTCCCATGTCCAATCCCAGAATGGGACTGTTGTTTTCGTTGAAAAGGTTGATTTTCAATTCTCCCAATACAAACTCGACACGGCAGAGTTTGGATTCGTGGGACAGTTCCTGTCCAAAGCTGAGTTGATCCAACCCGACATTCTCGAGTTCTTTGAGTTCCTCGGCGCTCAAGGAAATGGGGATGATATCTTGTTTCTCTTCAGTATCAGTATCGGATTTTCCTCCAAAGAGATTGGACAACATGCCCTTTTTCTTTTTGGGTTGCTTGTTGCTGTTGTTGTCGTTTTTTTGTCGTTTTTGTCGTTCCTTTTCAACTTGGGCATCTGCCAAGTTGCGCCACATCATGATTCCTTCAATGGAAATGGTCCGATCCGCTTCAATGGCGTGCATGGTTTCCAATTCGTCCGGAGACAGGGGCGTCATCCACTCCTTATTTTTAGTGGCATGCCGTTTCCAGAGTGCAATATACGTTTTGCGGGCTTGAAAGGCTTCAAAGAAGATGACCCAGGAGCGTCGTCCATTCAAGCGACTGACACTTGTAAAGGCATACCGCCACCACTGTTTGGCGGATTGTGCCGTAATGCGATGAAGGGGTCGATATTCCGGAAAGAGGGGCCGTGCCGCATGCGGGGACGGTGCCATGGCCGCCAGTAATTGCATGGTTTGTTGATATTGTCGTTGCCCGAGTCCCAATTGCACGGATGGAATGTTGCTCTTGAGCAACCATTTGGGATATTCCTTGGTAATGCTGGCATCGGCTTCGCGGGCTTTGGCGTCCAACGAGAGTGGATCCAAAATGTACGAGTGTGTTGTATTGTTGTCGGATGATGTTGGTTCATCCATGTAAATGGCGAGACCCTGAATGGTTAAATTCTTGTAGAGAAATTTGTTGAGTAAATCGTTGGGATTTTCCTTTTGGTTGGTACGGTCCACAAAGGTTCTGTGTCCGGCCATGTCGGTAGTGACAAACGATAGATTTTCCAATACCACGCCGGCAGTTCCCGCATCTCCCTGCAATGTGACTTGGACGTCTTGAATGTCGACTTGAAGATTTTCGACAATCCGTTTGACCAATCGCGAGACAAAGGAGGATCCTTGTTCGTCATTACTATTTTTGTTTGGTGTAGTGGTGTCCAACTGTGTGAGTTTCAAGAGTTCTTGGGCATGCATGCGGTTTTCATTGGCTAGCTCCAGTGAGTGTTGTCGTTGTTGATGAACATGCTGGGCTCGTTTTTCTTCACTGTCCACCACTTGCTTTAGAAAATCGGTTTGCGTCAATCGATCGTAGGGTGCCACGTGAATGTGCAGTCCATGCGCTTGCACCACAACGGATTGACTCGACAGGGATGCCCATGGAATTTGTAGCTTGACACTCGAGAAAGATCCACCGACGACACGCAATGGCAATGCTAGATTGGGCGCTTCGGCCGCTTGACGATCCAATTCGGCATTGCACTTGTGGACATCCAATTGCAAATCGTGCAATTCCACTTGACCACTCCAAATGCCCAAATTCAACTTTTCCGCATCCAAATCCACCACGTATTTTCCAATGGTGCTTTCCAGCACTCCCAATAGCGCTGCTTTCGCCATGCTACTATACTACTAGTAATATATTGTCGTCTACTTGTCACTGGGTGTTGATGTCTTTTTTTTTGGAATTGGATCTTTGTTCTTACTTTTGTGGCAGTCCAAGAAGACTTTTTAAAAGTGTTCAATGGGAAGATCTCACTCTTTCTTCTTCTCCTTCTGCTTCCTCTAGAGTAGCTAGCCAAAATCACGAAGCAACGATCAGGAACACTAGACTAGCTAGACTAGTAGATCTCGTCTTCTTGGACAATCCTTTCGACAAAGACGAAGGAATGGGCTGATCTCTACAACAGCGTAACCGTATACTTTTGGCGCCAACTTGGGGGAATGATGCTTTTGACCTTTGACCCTTCCGGAAAAGATTTGATGTTCTTCACGACTCGGGAAACCTGCCATCAAACATAAGGTTCAGGTTGGTTGAATTCCAACTGGGACCGCACCAATATTGAGCTCATAACCTCACAAATCTCTTTCTTCACTAACCAACCAACCATCACTGCAACAGTTCTTCACATGAACAACAGCTCGCCTCTCCAACATCCTCAACAACGAGCACAGCAACAATCCAAAGCAATAAAAAGAACAACACCAGGGATTCCAACGTGGTCCCCCACCGTAGTACTAACCTGGCCCGACGATGCTTAACTTCGCTGAGCAGACGGGAAGCGGTGCTGTCATCGTGGTATGGTCGTTCCTGAAAGCTACCACAGTCGTCTTTGATCTCATCTCAATGCAATGAGTTACTTGTTGCAATACGTGGAAGATCCAAGCAAGTTGAATCCAGCATCATTGAACCGTTACTTCTGCAATTGATCGCAAGCACTTTCTTCTCCTTTGCTCTGTTCTCTTACCCACATCATGTCGTACACAGTATCTGCAGTGCCTGCCTCAGTTCGCATTGTCCTCTAGCTAGTGCAAACCTTGTCGAGATGAAGAACCGCCGCAGCGTCGCGGCGCCAAGAGAACGGGCGCCACGACCAGCTCCTCCTCGTTGCCATCCATCATGGTCATTTATTTCACGAGCAAGAGAGATTGACGCAAGCAAACCTCACAGAGTGCATGATGAGGTGGATTCGATGATTCATTACTATTTGTACCGTACGGTAGGTGTTATACGTACTTGGAAATCCAGAAGATTTGTTCTTGAACAAGCAGGGCGGGGGGAAAGAGGCTCAAGGCATTCTATCCCAAAACATTCTTGCCTTATCGCACAAGTGTTGCCTCAGCCATTTATTTCTGTATTGCCTCGCAGCTCGCTCATTCGATTCCTCTCTGTTGAACCATGCATAAGATTGACCCGGTGGTTGCTAGCTAGTCAACATAAACTGTGACGCCATCCATTTGCTTACTACTAGGTCCGCGCACAACACTGAATACCGAAAGCAACGGTCCAACTAAGATGGGCATGGCATGCTGGGAGTTGAATCGAATCGTCTGGTCAAACATTGTGGAAGAAAGCAATCTGGACAAGAAGAATCCGTACAACTGTTTGGCAGACATCCAACACAACACAAAAGCTGATGAAAGAGCCTGGCTGGACTTTGATGATAGCGTGACTACTGTGGTGATCTGACAAGGAGGTATTTGACACCTGGTGGTGCAAAGAGTGCATGCTGGCAATCGCATACGGCTCTCCAGAAGGCCAACTTTGCTGAGTTGGTCAGGGTGTAGTCTCCGGGGAAGGCTACAGAAAAGAACAGCCAGGTGGCCAGAAAAATTCTCCACAACAAACACCAACACACACAATGACAGTCATGAAGAGGGGGGAAACCTGAAGCTTGAACGTCTTATGACTCAATGAGGAAGATTGCGGCGACGAATAAAAAAGCACAGATCTACGGTAGCTATCGGTACCGATACTGTCGCGAAGAATAAAGCCATTGGAGGTGCACTGAACATCCAAAGTTTCTACCCACAGCAGCCGTGGTATCTCCTCTAGCACCTGCATCAACCAGGAAGAAGGATTGAATTCAATTCACATCCTCCGAGAGCATGCCTCAAAGGGATTGCTTGTCACCAGTTGCCCACAAATTCCGAAGCAACAATCATATTGCTAGGCCCTCTGCCCCGGACCTCTCAGAGGGCAAAGCAGCTAAGCCACACCCTCACGCTGCGGAACTGTACGCGGCTCCCAACGATAGAATCAAGGTCCTGACGCGTTCGATACGGACAACGGGAGTCAGATGTCGTCTACAGGACATCCGATTGCTGGGGGGCTGCTAACCTTGCTGGATTGAAAGAGTTCTGTTTATTCATGTTATTGCCACAACAATCCAATCCAATCGCGGCAAACCGCAACATCTCATTGACGGTGTTTCATTACATTATTGCTCGTATCGTATCGTCTCATTTCATTCACTGGACCCAGCGGTACTAGTAGCGGTCCACAAGCAAAGAAACACCAACATGTTGAATGGATCCGTGCGCATAAAGCCTGTGACATCTTCGCACACCAAGGCAAACACGAGATATGCCGCAAATGCCTTGGCGAATCGGTACACGGCTTGTTTCAGCATCTTTTGGACATTATTGGTGGCGAGCAGCTGCGGATGGACCAAAGCAACATCGCCACTACTTCCAACTTGATATTCCATAATTTCATACTTCTTTCTCCTGGTCTTGAGGAGTGCTCTTGGCCGCACCAACTGCTTCCTGGAAAGCTTAATGGGTGTGACAAATGGTTGCTCTGTTTTAAGGTTGATTTGCTCTGCAGGCACATCATTAGTGGTTGGTGGTTCCGCGATACACGCAGTGTCACCGCCGGCACCTCTACCGGTACGGTTGGATCGTTTGCTACTACTGGGAGGAAGCAAGATCGGATCATCTTCTGTTGTACTAGGAGTATCGGAAAGAGCAATGGCATCCAGAGGCTTCATGGGTTCCATCGTCCTTCTTCCTCGATATTGCGTGGGTTTGGTAATTTTGATATTCTGTAGACCCATAACTTGGTCGCAGAATGGCAGAACAAAGAACAAGATACTCCACACTACCATTGACACCAAAGGCCGTCCATGGCCGGAGGACGCTGCCGCCCCTGTCATCTTGATAAAGACCTCGATTGGAGAAGACAACTAACTTATATGATAATAGCAACGCTTTCTCTCTCGGGGACCTTCGGTATCATTCTTCGCTCATGGCCGTGTCAATCCAGGACAACCAAGATCGATGGCAGGCTGATGTGGTCTTTCTCTTCTGCGGATTTTCATGGGAATCAACACGTGGCAATTTCAGCTTCGACGGCTTCTCAAACAAAGTGCCTGATTTACTACCACTATGAAAGCATAGAGCTCATGCATTGAGACTGTCCTGCCATTGGTTACGGTGAAGGTAGTAGGTTTGACCACCACCTTGGGGCATCTAAGCTGGCAAGGTACATCGTAGGCTTTGCAGCATGTGCGCATGTGCCTCTTTGGATTAGAGTTCATTCAATGCAGGAGAGAGATCCAGGAGATTGGAATCAAAACCAATTGTCAACCGTACCGGTGCCACACCTACATTGGTTCTCTGCTGGAGGCAGTTGCACAGCTTGCTTGCAAACTGCAGCGAGGGATCGCGGCCTTGGGATCCCTACTGATGTTGGTACGGAGATGCGATGGCCTGATCGTGGGCAATAGAGGCACGCTAGACCCGAAAGCAACCCAGGAAGGTTGATTGACAGATGAACCCAGATGAACTACTGCGCTGTATACGTGCCCATGTTTCTATCGATATCATCAGCTACGCTGTTAGCTAACTAAGCAAGGTATTGCCCCAATTGGGACATGGTCCAGGCATTGACAGCAAAGGCGGAGAAAAAAGAACCAACAGCCAAGAGGTGTACTCTCTGATCAAACTTTGCCTCGGTGATGCATCCTTCTGAAACTCCACCAATTATGAAAAAGACCAAAGGGAGAACAATACCCAACTTCAGTGGGACACTGTCGACTCGAGCTGCCAATGGTCCCAGAGCGAGTGCCAGCGCTGTGATTTGGCTGTACATGAAAAAGACCACACTGGAGACGGGCGCTGGCACTATGGTAACGTTCATGGGATTGTCTTTGTTGTGGTTGAATAGGTGCAAGATATGGTTGGACATCAAGTTATTCTTGTCTCCCACGATGGCATAGATCAGGACGCAAGCACTGAGCAATGCAGGTAGTGGAGATCCTTGATAGGCATGGGCCTGCATGAGGCTAGCACACCCCTGGCCTGTCAGCAAAAGGGTGTTGGCCACGGATCTCAGACGCTCATTAGCGTAGTCTGTTGGGTGGTATCCTTCTAGCTCCGGCAATACAGAAGGGGCAACTTGCCAATCCTCGTAGATGTGATGAATGATAGGAGGAAGTCCTGCTACCCATTGCATCATGGGTGCAAGCAAAAACAGAGAGACCCTGAGAGCGTCGCCCCCCAATACATTCATCCAAACATCGACGTGTTGCATCACGGCTAGAGATCCCATAAACGCGGGGACAATGAGAGCCCAATGTGCTATTTCGATTGCATTCAAAATGAAAGGGGATGCAGTATGAGTCGTCCCAAAGGCAGCCAAAGACGTCTTGGGTGGATCCTTGTCCCATGCAAACTTCTTGATTGGCATCTCAGAAGAGTCTGAATCATCATTGGTTTCGCCTCCTGGTAGATCAACCCTTGATATCATCACAGGGACGGATGTGGGTCTATCGTGGACATGCCGGTCGGTGGAGAGTAGTGACAGCGTAAAGGCATGAGACGATTGGGTAGCGAGAAGAAGGGCGAGAATGTGCTTGGAGTTGGTCATTTTGGTGGCTTGTTTGAAATTTTGTGAGATTGTGGAGGTCGAAGCAGCAGCATCACAAACTGTGATTATCTGTCTACAGTGTGTGGAAGAATGACAACAAAGACTGGAGCTCGCTCGCGAGACTTTTGACTCCCATGACTTTCCACGGTGCCAGGTAGTCGTGGTTACGGGTGAGATGAAGCACTCGAACAGCGACAGGCAATTGCGGGTTACCGGAAACAGGATGGAACAGAGTACGAACTCGTTTTTTTAAAGGGACCTGATGAATGCTCAGCTATCCGGTACGATAAGCATTGCCGATTTGAGCATCTTCCCTCCGAGTTCTCTCAAGACTAGAGTCCCACGTTCAGTGAGCCTTCATCGAGCAAGGTGGCCGACGCTGGGAGCCGCCGCCACCGAGGACCCAGTTCGCAGCATGGTATCTGTCCACCTTTTCTATCACGTTGCCCGCGCCACCTTGCCTTCCGTCTCATCTTCAGATGGCTCAGAAACAAACACGGAGGCCTCAAATTGAATTCGCTTTTAAAATAATATGTAGAATAGTTTACTGAATCATTATAATGGGGGGAAGACAACTCTCTCTCATACCACACACAGCCTGCAGGCGGGTAGCTGACTCCTAAAAAGCAAGTCTCTTTTGTGATCCGTGAAAAAACGAGTTCTAAAAACAATCCAATCCAAACCGATTCCAATTCCTCCGCTCCATTCTCGCATTCATCCAGACCACCGCACACCACACATACATGGAAAGAGCCACCACAAACGCTCGCTTATTCGATATCAAATCCTGTGGCGACCATTGTCACGGCCAGCTTCAGCTTCTCCTTCAAATCATCCAGCGACTCATATAGGGGCAAATCAATCCGATTGAAGCAGGTGCTGCAACAAACAAACATGGGAGAGTTCAATGAGCACGCAAATTCGTATCATAACATCATATCCGACCAAACATTCCGACACTTACTGTGCACGAGGGTAGAGACACACTCCAACAGGAACTCCATGAATAGTGAATTTTCGAATGTTACCGTCATTCCCTTGTAGAACACCAAACCCTCTCGATGGGACACCGGATGTCCCGGTGACGAATTGCAGGAGACGCGCCTTCATTTCTTGATCGAATTCGGAGACGACCTCCCAGAACCACTGCACCGACGGAGCATCGGCTCCAATGCGTTCGTACTCTCCAGAATACTCTGTGTTTTCTTGCCAATCTTCCATATCAATCGTGGGCAGTCCACACATGAGCAGTTCCAATTCTTGGAAATCAAAGACCGTCAACAGGGGCTCCGGGATAACATCAAAGAACCCGAGAATGAGTTCGTTCAGTTGCGGTTTGACTCGCTCCAGCATTCTGTATTTGAGACATGCCTCTAGGTACTCGGGGAAGTTATCATTGGTGACTTCCACTTCGGATCCATCTTCCACCAGTGGAACTTCCTGCTTGACGCCCATGACTTCTTGTGTGGTTGTGAAATCCAAACAGAGCATTTCCAGATCTTCACCGGAATCTGCCAACTGCTGCAATTGCTTCAAGTTATTGTAGTACTCCTCGTCGACGGCTTCTAGATCCCTAAAGGCAATGGGCCATCCGCAAAAGTGCTTGTAAATGTACTGCACCATGTGCCCCGCCACCAGCTGGCCACCAAAGAGCGCCTTGCCCATGACACGGCCCAAAAATCGGTAGTACACCAGGTAGTCTTCCACGAATTCTGTTTGTTATTTATAATTTTGCACACGAAAAATGGACAAGAGATGGGTGAGCAACGCGACAAATCGTCAACAACATTTTCGTGAATTTTGCTTTCGCTCTTTTGTTTTGTACGCACCACTGGCTGGATTGATTTGCATGCACATTTGATTGGTTTCACTGGACTGCCACAATCCCATATCCGGATCAAATATTTCTTCCGTGACCAATTGGAACCATTCTCGGGCCAGCCCTCCAGCGTCAATGCCCATTTCCCCAATGAATTCAAAGCGCCATAATTTTCGTAAATCTTTGCGGGACAATGACATGACGGCATCGACCGAATCGCCAAGCAACAGCTGACGCCGTACATTCATGCGCATATGACCTTCGTTCCATTCGACATGGAGTAGACCGCACTTGTCTTGGAACCATTGTGCCTTTTCTTCGAAATTCTTGACTTGTGCTTCGGCAATTTCGGCGTATCCGACGACGTCCGAACCCCGTTCGTCCTTGATTTTGGAGTCGACAAACGACTCTGTGGCTGGCACTAACGAGAGTACACCGGTGCGAAGTCTTGGATCTTCTCCCGGTCGGAATTCGAGCTTTCGTACATAGGCAGATTTTTCGGGATCGAATCGTTTGTTGGTATCGACATTACCGGCGTCGTCCATACGTACCCATTGGAATTTCATATCGTGTACTCGAATGGTCCTGGTCCATCCGTCCTTGTCGTATTTGAGCTTGATGGCGGCGGCTTCGTTGGTCGGTTTGGGCGCTTGTGTCAACGCCAATGGCAACTTGAATCGAATCCGTTGTCCCGGATTGGCATTGACGGGGCACGTGACGAGTACTCGTACTCCACCGGCGAGAAGCGCAAATGGTTTTCCAGGTTGCACACCCTTTGGTACTTCGACTTCGAATAATTGTGTCTTTTCCTTTTCTTCCTTTTTCTTTTGGGCCGCTTGCTGTCGTTCGGGTGCTTCCGTGACATCGGTGGGCGGTGGAGGTGGTACAATTCGGACACTCATTCCAGGTCTCGCATTGGTCGGACAAGTGACCATGAGCTGCTGTCCTTGAATGGTAACGGGGAATTGCTGTCCCCCACGGACCCCTTCCGGAATGGTGACCATGTAGGCATCGGGTCCCATGTTTCCGGGTTCGTTGATTTTGCGGACATTGGGAGAATCGGGTGGCAAATTCGATCCGCTTGCTCCGGCGCCTCCTCCTCCGGTGGCACCCGCCTTGGTGGCGCCTCCTCCTCCATTCATACCGGCCGTGGCAGGGTCAATGGGGACGGTGATTTGGAGTGACTGGCCGGGTCGCGAATCGGGAGGACATCGGACTCGTACAATTCTATTTCCGGCGTAGACTTGGAATTCTTGACCCGGACGTACATTTTCCGGAACTGTCACTCGAAAGACGGTAGTGGATCCACCAACACTGGTAGCACCAGGACCACTGGGTGCCGCTGTCGGCGCCGCTGACTGTTCGGCCGATCCTCCTCCTCCAGCTACTCCAGCACCTGTGGCACTGTTGGTGGCCGACGAACCAGTACTGCGAGAACGAGCTGGCGTTTTCTTCTTGCCACTCGACTTTTTGAAAAATCCTAGCTTCATTCTTTCTTCTGTTCTTCTCTTGTAATAATAAACTGGACTTGTCTGTGTGGAATATGAATTGTTGTCTTTTAAAAATGGCTGAGCAGTCTGAGCAACTCGAACAGACTTCTACTCGACTCGATTGTCTTCTTCTAACTATACACCAATAGAGGATAGGAGAGATCCACAATGACTCCTCTGGAGAGTTGTTGTCGTTTTCTTCTTCTTCTAATAGTCTGACTACAATCGATGGCAGAGCAAAGCGACCGAAAGCACGTCTCGTGTGGCAAAAAAGACCGTAGAGAGTGCGAGAGATTTCTTCAGAGCGAGTGTCACCGACTAACTTGATGATTGTTTCCTGAGCTCTTGAATGCCATGAGCTGAATCCCTCAGTCAGTTGGTTGGTTATTAGGTTAACCAGACGACAGCCTCCTCCTATGATACAAGCTATCTATCTATCGATGATGAATTGGATTGGCACAAAACAAATAGAAAAGGACGCACTCTCAAGCTGTTTGCTGTCTAACTGGCGAAAGCTGTCTGTTACGGCACTGCAGCAATGCCTGGATTAATTACCGCTTTGTATCATACTCGGGACTTTGTCCTTTTGCCCCCTTTATTGTCGTGAAAACGGGTTTCCAGTGCAGAACAAGACAACGTACAGAAGACAGACGCTGGAATTTCTTTAGCCCCAACCTTTTACGCTCTACACGATACGACGCGTACGCGACACGAGCACCAAAATCGTCGACCTCTTCTCATCCCCCCTTTTGCATCCACCCTCTTTTTCATCCATCCCCCTCTTTTCTTCTCCAGCGTCGTCGTCAAGTTCTCCAGAACTCCATCGATAAAAGTAACACAGCAACTTGGTGCAAGGCAAAAGACAGACCTCGTTGTAGAGTTTAGTTGTAGACGAAGTGTAGTGTAGTGTTGTTGTCACCATGGCGGCACAAAAGAAGAAACGAGCGGCGTCCAAGGGCGATGACGACGATGCTGCTGCTGCTGATTCTCCCAGTGGCAACAACAACAAGAAGCGCGCCAAGAAAACGAATGACGATGAAGTACCAGCAGCACCACCCGCGTTTGCGGCTCCTCCGTTTGCAGCGGGTGGTGCCATGATGGTCCCCCCACGACTTCCCAATGGCGCTCCCAATCCAGCGTGGATGGCCCAACAAGCTGCTGCAGCGGCGGCCGTGGCACAACAGAGCACTGCCGCACAACAAACCGCTGCGGTGCAAGCCCAAGTGGTCGCTGGACAAATGCAGTTGCAACAAGCAGCCATTGCCATGGCACAATCGACTACCGACGAGGCGTCAAAAAAGAAAAAAGCCACCAAACAGCGAAAAGGGGCTCCGGCACCACCGACTGGATTTATTGCTTTGGAATGTCACCAGCGCATTGTTGCTGAAGAACGACAACGAGCGTCTCATGGAATGGACATGGGAAACACCACGATGCACCAGATGCAGACCACACTCGAAGCGCAGCAGGCCGAAATTGACAAACTCACTTTGCTAAATACCAAGCTCCAAGAAGAATTGGCCACTGCCAAGAGTCAACTCGAAGAAGCCGAAAAGGGAAAATCCAAAATCGAAAAGGAAGTGGCCAAAACGGCCAAACGCGCCACTACTTTGGAACAACGTCTTCAAAAACAAAAAGAGAAATGGACAGAAGAACGCAAAAAACAAAAAGAAACCAAGAAAGAACTCGTCGAATTGAAAAAAAGCAATGGATTCAATCAATGCACCAAAATTGTACTCCCGGGAGATGCCGAACGCGAAGATATTGAACACAACAAGCACGATCGCAAATGGCAACAAAAGTTTGACATGCTGGTGCAATTCAAAGAAGAACATGGGCATACCAATGTCAGCAAGTACACGGACAATGTCGAAGCCAAATATCCCGGATTGGCCACGTGGGTGTCGACCCAGCGAACCTGCTTTACGTGGCTCAAATCCGGCAAAAAGAATACTCTGACCCCGTTTCGATTGCAAAAACTCAAATCGATTGGATTCGAATGGCAACCCCGGGGCGTCGATCCCGTGCCCTTTGACGAACGCGTCGAACAACTCAAAGTGTACAAGCAAGAACACGGCGATTGCAACGTTCAGCAGCACTACAAGGGTGTCGCCGGACTCGGGAATTGGGTCTTGGGCATGCGACGGTATTATCGTGAAAATCGATTGCCGGCAGATCGGATTGCATTGTTGGAGACCATGGGATTTGTCTGGCGGCTGCGAGCCGTCAAGGTACCCGGTGGGCGGCACAAGAAGAAAAACAATGAGGACGAGGATGACGACGACGAGCCGTCCGAACTGCATCGTCGTCATCCACAGCAACAACAGCCACCTCCACAACAGCAGCACCACCACCACCATCATCATCATGCAAACGGTGGTGCCATGGATCCTCCGGCGGTTCCTCTCGGTCCTCCACAGCCGTTTTCGCCATTGCCGTTCCGATACAATGAGTATGTGTAAACAACGAGGTGCAACCAACCATTGACATGCGTTTTCACATCAACAAACAGAGATATTTGCTGGAGGGTCCTTCTTCCGCTGGCTTTTCCCCCTTTCCGATCGTTTCGCCCCCGTGCATTCGACTTTTTCTCGGTCGATGTTTGGCCGACCCCGTAGACACTCTTTCATCGCAGGCTTTCCCCGAGCGGATCCTCGAATCCGCTGTTGACGAATCTTTTTCTATATTCTCGGTCCTACTTTAGCTTAGCTTAGCTTAGCTTGTAGCAAATACAATCAACTAGGATACAACGCTGTAGTCTTCAATGGATGTTTTGTAGACCTCCGTCGTACCGGTACCGTGCGGTAGAGGTATGAAGGTGCCGAGGGAGCCTGAAGAGTAGTGCGTCTTCGAAGCTGTGAGGATCATTCGATCCACGCAGCTCTACGTTAGTGTTACTGGGTTTCTGGGTTTCTGGGTATGCCACTGACTTTCACACGATACTGGTTCGGTAGGGGGGTGATCTCTTGCCTGCTAGGCACCTCCTCGAAGGGGGGCAGAATGAAGTGGAACTTGTTCCTTCTTCGTACTCTCCCCACTCGAGCCTAGTCTCGAGAGCCCTCCACTGATACAGCCATCACCTTTACAAAGATTGTTTGTCCTATTTTAGTTTGCCACGAACTATTCACTCGACTTTTTCTTTTCAGCCTTTTTCATCCATCACCTCTTGCAAACATTGACTGAGTCTTTCCTAGCTACCAGCTGAGTCGAGTCGAGTCGTCTAGCCTTCTTGCGCTCCCATGCTCACCATGGTAACTGAGTCATGATCAGATGTATCGCCAGTCAACACAGTGTTTCCAATCTCACAAGGGACATCGCTGGCCACGGCAAAGGTGAATCCAAGCTTGTCAATGACACCAGCAAATCTTCCATGGATACCAACCAAACGGGAACCAGGGCCACCTTCAAACGTTGTTTCCACTGAATTCTTGTCTTTGGAATTCTTGTCCTTTGGAATGCCATACATGGGAGAGACAATTCCAGCCATGGTGTAAAATTGAATTGCAGTGACATACTTATCATCTGACCATACCACAACTTTGGAAATCTCATCATTGGGGCAGAGCTCAAATGTAGATGTGACTTTTCCTGTTGTGCACACACCGCATCCAATGTACGAAACAGCGTTGCCATCAGTGAAATCCAGAAAAACTCTCTTGACTAGACACAAGTACTTATTTCCATTCCAATCAAATTTGCCATATTCAATTCTCACTTTCTTCACACCCGATGGGTTGCAACCAGAGTCAAACAAATGACCACCTTTGCCTCCTACAGCTTCAAGCTTGGTCAGCGTCCACTTCTTCATTCTTGGTTCTTCCTTGAGATCCGACACCATTGCGTCACTTCTATCTCTCAACTGGCTACTAGTACTCTTGTGGAGCAACTTCTTCGAAAGATACCTCAGGTTTTCTTGCGAAAAGGCAGGTGATGACCCAAGCCATCATGCGTTCCCTGATGGATGCGTGCCGCACCGTGGCGTCCAAGCGTGGAAAAATCTCCAGTGGAAATCTTTCTGACGTCCGCTAATAAGGCTCTGCCGATACGAAGAGGATGTTTCTAAGCATGTTACTATGGTAGGCGTTAACCATACACTGCACAAAGTGGGGCCCCCCGATTATCCAGAAATATAATTTGGGAAGCAACTGGCTGGCATTGAGATCTCTGGGCTACAAGCCAATACTGGTACGCCTCAACCAAAGTCTGTGCATTTGCTAGTGCGTAGTGAGGAATTCAACCATCGAATCCGCTGTGTCTGTCTCCTTCGTGGTTTTGTCGCATGTGGCAAAGGAGAAGCCCAGCTTGTCAATGGAATCACCAAATCTCCCATGGATACCTGCCAAACGGAAACCGGGGCCAGCTTCAAACTCGGTTGGCTTGTAATCTTTGACTGGAATTCCATATATCTGAGTCACAAAGCCTGCTTCAGCGTGGAATTGCACTGCATTGACAAGAATGCCATCCGACCACACGACAACCTTTGTAATTCCAGGCTGATAGTACAAGTAGTTGGTTCTTTGTTCGTAGTTGGTTCTTTGTTCTGTTATCCAAACAGTGAGTTCCCGATTTTTCATCATCGTTCGCCGCGCACCCATGAAAGAGTTCCTCCGTTGATGCGGTTTCGAACTCGAGTACGATACGCTTGATGGTTGACGTGTAGCATCTGCCCTTGTGATACAAGTAGCCGCATACAATTCTCACACATTTGAGGCCAGAAAGGTTGCACCCGGAGTCAAACAACCAGCCGTTGTCGCCACCAACGGCTGGCACCTTGCTCGTCTTCCATTTCATACCTTTTCGAACCCCCCTGCTGGGCTTCATGGCTTTAATTCCGCTTTTACTGACGATGATGCTACCGGTGGCAAAGGATAGTCCAAGTCTGTCAATGACACAACTAAACCTGCCGCGAATCCCTGCCAACTCTGATCCTTTGGGGCCTTCAAATTCTGTTTCCACAGACCCAGGGTTGGGGATTCCATACACGGGAGAATGGAGCCTGCTTCTGAGTAGAACTGTACTGCATTTACCATGAACTCATCAGACCACACGACAACCTTGACAACCTTATCATGGTCACCTGGCTTGAATGTGAAAAGCCTGTCATGCAATTTCAAGCCATGAAGTTTCAAGCCTTTGGAGTATCGGTACTGGTAGATATCGCCAGCCCAATACCGGTCTGTGTCTGGGAAGCTTATAAAGATCCTCTTGACCACTGATGTACACGATTTTCCAAGTATCCACGAAAGCATGGAAGAACCAGTTTCAATAGAGCCTGTTTCAATTCTTATGCCGCACAAACCGAGCTTGATACCAGAGTCAAAGGGTAGCCCACCATCGCCGCCCACCGCTGGTAGCTTCCTTGCCGCCACCACTTCTCTTCTCGAAGTCATGGCCACTTCCTCAATATGTGAATGGTCCTTGATGGCCATTTACCGCAGATGCTGGTTGAATATTATTTCCCGTGCATACAAACGGGTGGTGAAAAAGTGTTTCCACGACGTGGATGCTTCCGGTGACTGAAGCTCATTCATGAAAGTGACGTCGAAGAGAACGAAACGGATGTCTTCAAGTCCCAATCGGACTACGGTGCCGCACGGTACCACATGACAGCGCAATTGGACGACCATGAGAATGTTTGACGATTTGAGGACAAGGGAATCGCATCAAATATCGGGTTGGGAAGGACCACGTCGACACAAATTTGCCACAAGAACATCCAAAAGATTCTGGCGTTGCCAAGGGCAAAGGAGGATGCCTGACACGCAGGTGAAAGGAATATTCTAGGAAGTCTCCTGCCTACGGTACCAAAGTCTTGTACCATGGTAGTCCACTAGACTCACCAACTAGATTTGGTTGGGAGCAAAATCTTGTCTCTTCATCCATCACCCACGATGCACGATGGACTTTGTCCCAAAGGACACAATGATCCGCTTTTGTCTCCAAAACAGACAGCCAGGTGACAAGGATGCACACTGGTCCTCAAATTCTTTGGCTCTGTATAACATCCATGTAAAACGTCAAATTCACCTGTTAAATCTTGTGCAGTTAAGCAGACTCTTCTGAGTAGCTAGATTTACATCCGAGTTGATAACTAAAATGAATGTGTTTAATTCCTGGTCATAATTAATTTGAGTGATACTTGCTGAAATTACATAATGCCACTTACCTTGCGAATATTGATTTTAAAAACTTCGAGATAGCGAATCGAATCTGATAGATGTTAAACAAAGCCATTTATTTGTTTGTTTCCGAAGCATTTTTTGCTGGGACATCACTGGCTCATTTTGCATTGTTCTTATTGGTTCCTTCAAAGTTGGATTTATGGCAATTGCCCCCAGGTCTCCTCAAAACCAGACATTGCCACCGGTACAGCGAGCAGCGTGACTGTACTAGTGTCCACGAGTACATGTAGTTCCGGTACCAGTACTGTACCCACTATTAATAGTACCATTAGGGCTGTAAAAGGAGCAACATCTCTATGCGTCTTCGGCACACTTCATGGTGTCCGCTCGAGCTCGAGCCCCACTTCCGCACTTGGCACTCTTTGACCTCAGCCCTTCCCACTGCATACCTCTTCCCACACCTCATCCTCAAGTTTTGCTTTGCCTTCTTGTTCTTGTCCATCCACCAAGAAAGAAAGAAAGAAGTACCAGTCATGTTGGCTCTGCAACGGCAAAAGTCTCAAGTGATTGAGGTGATCAACTACATTTCCGATGACGACTGGAGTGGCAGCGATGATGAGGAAGTCGAGACCATTGTCGAAGAGGTCGTGACGACGATTCCCAGTACCAGTACGAGACGTTGTCCCGCGCCTCACGAAGTGGGGATTGGCCAAGAGTATGGTGATGATGATGACGATGATGATGACGATGACAGCCTTCACGAAGACGACTTGGTGGAGATTGTGGAGGAAGTGGTTCAAATGCCCAGCTATAGTAGTCATCGATGGCAAAACTCCATCACTGTGGCACCTCATGAAGTGGGGATTGGAGCCGAGCCCGAGAATTACAACTTTTTGCAACGGAGCCTTCGATACTGTTCGAGCAAGTTCTTGACTGCCGGTGGAATTTTGGGTGTTCGAGAGGACGATGACGAATCAGAAGAGGAAGAAGAGGTTGTCGAATTTGTGGAAGAGGTCGTCAGACCCCCATTCTCGAGAATGCGTTCGACCAGGACCATTGCTCCTCACGAAGTGGGCATTGGAGTACAACAAAACGACAATGAAGACGACGATGATGATGATCTACTACACAATGTTCCAAACATCCCGACAAAAACCAAAAAACTCTACTACAACACTGACGACGATGATGACGATTCGATCTCCATTACGAGCATTACCAGTCGCACTACGGCCAGTCCGACCGAGCCCTTGGAATCCCTCGGTGTCATGGCCAGCATGCGCATGTCTCTGGTCGCCGCCAAGGCTGTGAAAAAACTGCGGGAACGACTCGTCACGGCGCAATTGCGACAACGCATGAAAGAACATCGCAACAAGTACGCGCACGCGCAAGCACAACAACAAGCCCGCCTCCAACAGCAAGACTTTCACAATTCTTGGCGACAAATCATTGGCGCCATTGAAACGGTGCAACTCAAACCGGTCCCCAAGACTCTGAAACGAGATTCGTCCAATTATGTCAGTAAGGATCATCCCTATTTGCGAGAATTGAGAGCGGTGCAGGCCGAAGTATTGCCCGTGTGGCGCAAGGAAACATACTCGTATTGGATCTAAACAAACAAACGAACGAACGAACCCACTACAAGTATGAAACAAACAGAAACTTCTTCTTAGCTGGAAGGATGGACATGGCGCCTTTTCCTCCAGCGGGCTCGAGCTGTTGACAGCACCGTCCTCTTGGGTGCTCCACGTTCCCGTGTGGGGAGCGTATTGGATCCAACTTGCTTGGCCAGCAGCTGGAATGAATCGGCATGGCGCCCTCCAGCGGGATCGAGCTGTTGGCACCGTCCTCTCCGCCACGATTCGATTCATCTTCCCGTACATATATTACGTTACGATTACGCACCTTTGGGTGCGGAACGATTTTCATCTTCCCATACATTATTACGATTGCGCACTCATATCACTTGACACAACTAATTACATACATGTATGATACTAGTAGGAAATTTCAATAGGAACAAACTCTGCAATGTATTTTTATGAAGAAACAACTTATTGAATCCATACCGGTACGTAGGCTGCAGATGCGACCGGCCGTCCTGGTACCTGTGCTGTGATCGGAACAGCGTGACGCCTCATCCACTGCGCTCTGTATTCCATCTTCGAGCCAGGCACCTTGTTTCTTTAGTGCTCAAAAAGGCGACTGCAATTTGGATTTGCTCGTGCTTCCCCAAAAGGAATTCCTCCCTTGCACCCGCGCACGAAGGTCCACGAACCTTGACAAACGCTCTGAACAATGGACTCACATTAATGAAACTCAGAGCGACACTAGAACCAGTTCTACTAGTAGAGAACAACAATCAGATCCAACAAAAGCTGAAAGCCCTACAATAATATTTTGATACTTTCCGGCGCCGTTTTGATGCTCAAGGCAAGCAAAGCATCGAACTTTCTCGATGACCCAAACGCCTCCTGCCGTCCTCACATACAGTGTATTCGCTAATGAATTCATTGAGAACCTTGTTCGAAATCGCACTCGCTGCCCGGGATGCCATGTAACGTGCCACAGGCTCATACACTACAAGCTCAGAGGTGAGAGAAAGGACAAACAAATCGGGTGTGTCGCTCGAGTAGGAGTCGGTAACATCGGTGCCATACGAACGAACCAGTTTGTCCCCAAAGATGGTATCTGCTCGCCACTGGCTCTCTAAAAAGAGCCTTGTCTTTTGAAGTAGCAGACCAATCTCGTCGTCCATGGGTTGGCGACCGCGTCCCTGGAACCAGGAGAATCGAAACGTTTGATGAATGGGGCCGATGGTGGCTTCGACGGGTTCGTCATTATTTCCGTCGTCTGGAGCCAAAGTTTCAGCAGTGTGGTAGTCGCTCAACCTTCTACTCTCGGAGTTTGCCAAGCTGGGATGATGCTCACATCGGGATTCGTCGTAGGCAAGGCGAAGAAATGATTGGTTAGGATTGTTCTTGTTCTCCTCAAACATACCCGGGATGTACATTGTAGCTGTAGGTTTGAGGGCCGGGTGGAAAGACCCCTTCCAAATTGCTGCAGTCATCAATGGTTAGCCGGTTCAGAGGGCCCTCCCAAGAGTGTGAGCACGAGGTGCAGTCGCCCACCCCTTCGACAGTGATGGTGCAGGAATCAGAACGTTCCGTCAGATCCGCACAATGGCGAACGACTCTAGCCTTGACGGTGAAAAGCAGTTCTATGGGATAACCTGTGTCTTTGTACTTTTCATCGAGGCCTCCGTTGTAGCAGCGAAAAACGTGGTCGTCAACGGCACAGCCGCCTCGTCCTGAGGTGTCGTCGGCGGAAAGTGATCGTTCCACTCGGTATGGTAGCAATCTCCAATCTCGGCGTTTCCATTGACGATGCTGCCAACCAATCCGCTTCTATTCATACTATCTCTAGTTAGTTAGTTTCATTGATAATTGGTGGCCAGTATAATTTTTAAAAAGCTGAGGCCACAAACCGTTTGGGAGCCAGCATATCTCTTGTTGTATGCTCCGCCCACAAACCCCAATCCATTTGATCCTAGCCAGGGCTGTCATTCGAATCCTACTGGGACAGGCAGTAGTCAGAAGCATCACAACACAGAGTGCAACAAGAGCACTCTACCATGGGTTCACCTGGGCCATCCCTTGGCAAACAGTCAGCTGCCACTTCAAATGTGCCCTTGATAGGGTCTGCCAGAGTGCAGACAGACAATGGAATGGAACCAGAAAGGTCGTTCCCATTCACAATGAACTGGCGTAATTCTGTCAGAGAGGAAAGCTCTGTTGGGATGGTGCCATGAAACTTGCTGTTGGAAATGTCAAAGGTTTCTAGGCGTGTCAAAAGCTGCAGTCCACTGCTTATGGTGCCAGTCAAGTCACAGTTGGAGAACCCAAGAAAAACTGAGTTGGTACATTTCGTAAAGAGTTCCTCTGGTAGGGAGCCATCCATATTGGTCCAACTGATATCAAGTTCTCTGAGAGCGTCTTTCAGAAGTCCTATTTCAGATGGAATCGTTCCGTGTAAAGGGTTCCCATTCAGAAAGATGCGGAGTAGATTTTGTTGGTTCAATGCTCCAATTTCAGTGGGTAGAGTTCCTGTAAGCTACAAAGCAAGGAAAGTGTGACCTGTCAATCACAGTGCAGCGTCTTGACCAAAAGTTGATGATCACTGATGTTCGGTTCCCAAGGATAGGTTGTCATACCTTATTGTCATTAAAAAACAAAAATTGGATTCCTTTGCCAGCCTGAAAGAGAGCTGTAGGAATGGAACCAGACAAGCTGTTTGAACCAAATCCAAGCCACGTCCCATTAAAGAGTCCAACTTCTGTGGGGACGGTCCCTGTTAGTGAATTATTTGAAAGAGACAAGTAGGAGAGGTTTCCAACAAACAAGTCCAATGGAATAGTTCCAGGGAGATGATTGCTGCCTAGTCGCAGTACAGCAAGAGAAGGGAAGCTACCATATATGCTCGGAACCGTTCCTGTCAGTTGATTCCCCATAAAGTCTATTTCTTCCAGTGCTGGAAGACTTGTAAGTTCTGTGGGCAAAGGGCCGTTCAACCCATTGTTCGCTGATAATGGAAGCAAGCTAAGCATAAGTACAGGAATCCTGCATTTTGGTTCTTGTAGTGGTCAACAAAACATAGTAAACTCACAAAGCTGCAACTCAGTAATGCTCTTCTCTCCGCCACAATAAATTCCTGCCCATTGACATTCGTGAGCACCTGTGAGCCACCTAGTCTCCAAGGATTCAAAATCCCGGAATTGAAACCAACATGTTTCATCGTTTGCTGTCGTGGATTTCCCACAATTTAGCCAGTCACTCTCTTGAGATGTTTGAAAGTAAAATAATGACAAGATGAACCTCTGTAGAAGATTGTTGGCATCTGGGGCGAGCTGCAGCGGATCTTCAAAAACGATCCAATCAAGAGCCTTGAACTTTGGCTGGGTGGGTTCTGGCTGATCAGTTTTGGGAAAATAGTCAGGACCAAAAGCCTCTTCAATTCTGTTTTGAATGTCCTCCAAAACAATATATCGAAAAGAAGTGGGAGCCTGAGTCCCCGTATCACTTTCTTTGCTGCTGCAGAGACCAGCCCCACAGATGGAACCAACAATGATGCAATACACGGCTCTTAGCCTTATTCGCGACTCGATCCTAGATAGGGTTTGAGTTCGACTCATGACTGAGTTCCGTGAATAGTCATTGAGACAGGTTCTCATGACCGCTAGTCATACTAGGTCGATGGTGAAACATCGCGCTAGATATTTAGCTGGCGTGGGAGAGATTCTACGCTACTAGATAAAGCTAGACGAATCTTCCACGCTTCCGTTTTTGGATCGTGGAGTGAGTAGGATGCTACCGCAACCTACTCTATCCACACTTACAGTCTCCCGCGGGGTTCAGATCTACGATCCTTTGATTGTGGATCTCTCTCTGTTGATTATTTTTCATAGTTTTCTAATCCTCTCATAACTTTCATTCTCTCAAACTCAAAACACTCGAAAGATTTTACACTAGCTTTTAGCGTAGTGCATTTTGTTAACAAAAACACAATAGCTTTCAGCTACCCAACCTATTCCTCACCATGAAGATTGCAAAGACGCGTACACCAGCTTCGAGTCTAAGCTGCGCGACAAACCAATCCTTCCTCTCATCGACCGACGATGAATGCGAAATGACGATTCTCGCGCTACACCTACAAACTTCGCATGTTCCAGCAGATGCTAACAGCGCCAAGTAACCTTCAAGGTCAAATCATCAATGGATCTGAGATCCACGTCAAACCATCAATGGGCTGGACGTATGGAGAAGGTCTTCGTCGGGTCCATTGCTACGCCTGGACGACAAACATAACCTCCTAGGGAGATGACTTCTAGCCCTGCCAAGAGCAGTTACGAATAGCTGTGCAGGCCACCGTGATACGTTGGAATGCCTTGCGCCAGATTGCAGTCAACGCGATTCCTCCAGCGACGTACGTGGCGGTGAAGAGGAAGCCCTTTCCAAGCGTTTCCAGTGCCTGGAACGGAGCAGCTCAGCCTGCTTTGGAGACACTGACATTACGTTTGGCATTAAATGCCTGTTCGAAGCGGTTGTCCCTACAAGGCTCTTGAAAAGCAGAAACGCTTCATGCGCCGCAAGATGCGTAAGCCTGCTGATAGACTACTCGGGCTTATGTCAACAACCTCATCGGATGAATGCCGATGAACTTCCTCGTCTACCACCCTTTTGGACCCAACAAACATTGAACCATGACGAATCATTGACATTGTTTTTCATGGAATTCCACGCTCGTGGATGAAGAAGATGGACGAACACGACTTGATCCTTTCTCAGCTCCTATCGGAGCAACCATTGGTTCTGCGAACGCATGAATCCTCCGAAGACTTTGACAAGGGCGGTGATGCAAGCAAGCCCTCGAAAAAGAACAACAGCAAGAAGTACAAAGTCTACTCGCAACAACGACCACTTCTTCAAGAACGAAGAAAAGTGGTGCGACTACCACGAGTCAGCACTCACAACACTGCTGACTGCATGATCTGAAGAAGCTAAGGCAAAGTCTCAGTCCCGTCTGACAACGATAGCAAGCCAGCGTACAAACAAGAACAAAACTTGGAAGCGCAAGTCCGACGACGCCAAGTCCTACACCAAAAGGAACTCTCTGTTTATGAAGAAAGTCCCAACGCTGCGGTCAAGGCTGATCGCAAGAAGAAAAGCGAATGCAACCATGTTGCAAGCGCAAGTCAGACGACTCCGACAACGAGGACACTCCTCTGTTGATCATCAACATGATGGACAAAAAAATGGCTGCCGTTGACAGGCGCTTGCCGAATTCGATTCAATCATTCGATGGAAGATCTCCGTCTGAGGATTAGCCAGGATGTATGATTCAACGAACCATGTTTCGATTTCTCATACTAAGTGATGAAGATATCTCACAAATAGTAAAAAGATTTTTGCAAATAATGAAGTCTAGGCAAATTAGAAATGCCTAGCAACTGCTCAATAGACTCTGACGATCTATTAGCAATCGTTAACTTCGTCCATGGCAACCAACTCGTCAACGTCGCAAGACAAGAGACCTCAAACTATCGTCTTGTTTGATTTAACAGACGAGAGAAAGGGAACAAAACCCGTTACACTCTGTTGCTTACTGGATACAGGAGCATCCGGAACTATTACTCAAACTCATGCAAAAAGTTTACTCATGAAGAATCATGGGGCGTCCAACATCACGGATGCTTCTGTAAGAAATTGAAACCCGCACGAAGTGTAAGGGACACTTATGATTCCTGAGTTCAACGATAATAGAATTATCGAATGGAATTACAGTCACCAAGAACTTGGGGGCGATGACATATTCATAGGTCAAGACACTCTCTCCCGACCAAAGAATCAAGTTTGATTTACTACCATGTCAATGGAGTAGGAACAGCATATTTTTTCCTGTGAAAGATGGCGATACGATAGAAAGAGAACTTCTCCATTTCCTGATCTGCAGCTGCAGTCGACAGCAGATAGTCTCAAAAAGATTCTTGATGCAACATACGAACAGACTGACTTAAGGCAATGTGCCAGAGTCGAAATCAGTTAATAAGGAAGAGCAAGAACTGCCTCATGCCTTCTCGACCAAGTGCTCCGACCCAGTCGATGGTACTTTGGGAGAGTTGCAATGGACGACTACGAAGTAGAACTTCGTCCAGCTAAACCTATATATCTAGGGCTACCTACTCACGTGTCCATACCAACACTCTCAAGACAGAGGTTGAACGTCTCTGCAAGGCAGGAGTACTTAAAAAGATAAACTGTTCCGAGTGGACGGCACCAACAGTTATCATTCCCAAGAAGAATGGATCCACACGGTTCATCTCCGACTGGGAACTGAACAAAAGATTAAGCTAAAACCGTGTCTGATCCCAAGGATGCGAGACAGGCTACCGAATCCAGACGAATTCCAGCACGCTATGCCAATGGGCCTATGCTATAGCCCCGACATCTTCCAAAGGAAGATGAAAACACGCATGCATGACTTAGAAAATGTCCGTGCATACATTGATGATAAACTCATCTAACTGACGGATCTAAGATCACGTTGAAGTTAGATGAATTTCCAAAAGACTTCAAAGAAGTCGGATTTAAAATACAACACTACCAAGGCCTTCCTCGAAAGAGAAGAACTTGAGTATCTAACCAATTGGACTTACTCGAAGAAGGAATCCAACCCTTAACAAAGGATAATAGATGCGATCCAAGATATCGCTCCTCCTACAATAGGAAGGAACTTCGTAGATTCATTGGACCAATGAACTACCAGCAGATACATGAATCAGACGATCACATGTACACTTCATTGCTGGACAATGATTGATCCCATAACCGAATGGTTCGGGATTACCAAGGTCTGCTCCAAGACAGCAGACGAGTAACCATCGTTCTAAAACAGACGTGGGTTACCAGTATCCATGACCGGCTGAGGTTTCATGGACAAGACGTGAGTCCCGCGCAGAGGTCGAGAAACTCTCCGGGATGAACATGGACTTCGTCGCAAGTTCACGCGCGTCAACGTGACAAATTCACAACATCCATTTCGAAGCAAACTGGAAGTACATCAAGGACGTCGCCAACGACTTATCCAGAAAAACAACGATAGGGAAAAAACACGCGTGTCCCTCATCAACACAATGTCAACGATACTGTGATATTCATCAGTATCAGCACACAGAGTACGGTAGCCAAGTACAAAGGTCCTTACCACATAGACCGAGTCAATAACAATGGCACTGTACGGCTCCGACATCTACCGCCAATGGGGCACAGTCTACCAGACTTGGAACATAAGGTATTTACACCCTACAAGGCCTGATCCCCTTGTAGGATTGCCATGTGCGACGCACATGTCTACATCCAATCTCCGGAGAGTGCCCGCACTTTAATTCATATGTTCTCTTGTCGACTGATGTCGTGCTTCTGTGACCCTTGTCAGGGGCGAATGCAATACACGCTCTTAGCCTTATTCGCGATCGTTCCTAGATAGGGTTTGAGTTCGACTCATGACTGAGTCTTCGTGAATAGTCATTGAGACAGGGTTCTCATGACCTAGTATACTAGGTCGATGGTGAAACATCGCGCTAGATATTTAGCTGGCGTGGAGAGATTCCACGCTACTAGATAAATGTAGACGAATCTTCCACGCGTTCCGTTTTTGGATCGTGAGTGAGTAGGATTGCTACGCAACCTACTCTATCACACTTACAGTCTCCCGCGGGAGTTCAGATCTACGATCCTTTGATTTGGATCTCTCTCGTTATTATTTTCATAGCTTTTAATCCTCTCATAACTTTCATTCTCTCAAAACAAAACTCGAAAGATCTTTACACTAGCTTTTAGCGTATGCAATGACTCCAACAACTAGAAGGCTACCAATGAGAAAAGGGATCATGCAAGTCATTGAGGTTGATTTGTTTTTCGCGTGCACATGGTCAGGTCTAGCAATCTGTGTAGGTTCTTCATTTTGTTCAACCTGGTTCGCCACCACCAATCCACTATTGTTGTCAGTTGGAGTAGTGGTACTTTGATTCCTTGCGTTTGTGCTTGAAGGAAGCCCTTCATCAGAACTACCAGCGACAGCCAAGTCACGAGAAGAAGTAGCTCCTCCTACCAATGAACGACTGAGTGTTGTGGATCTCTGGAGATCAGTCCCGGGGGCCACTGCATATGCTCCTGGATGCATGGTAGCTTCATCTGAATGATGTTGCCCACGAGTCAACAATGGTTGCGGAAAAGCAAGCTCATCGTCGAGACCAGCTTCTGTTGATGGAGTTTCGCTGTCAACTTGGCGATGATTCTTTATTTGCTCCTGTACTACCTGCAAAATAAAGGCATCATCTTCCTTTTCTTCTTCTCTGGTTTCCTCTCCCGCGGAGTTGTCGTCTGTTGTGCTGGGACGATGCTGCGATGACTGGAATCTCTTTGATTGCTCGTCGTCTTCTCTCTGTTTCGCTTCCAAGTAAAACTTTTCCAGCTTCCTGAGCTCCACCTCTCTATTGTCCCCCCGGCTTCTGGCAGCCACAATATCCATCATCTCATCCTCACCATCCATGGCTCTTTCTGCAGAAGGTTCCATCCTTGTCCAATTCCCATCAACCATACCCATGCCGGTACTGTATTGTGGGGTGGGGGAGGTGCACAGTGCACAGCCCAGTCACCCCTGTTCTCGACTGCATCCTGTGGCATCCTAAGCGTTCTGCTGCACACCGACCCGTACATATGAAATGATAGTAGAATGGAGAGCCAATTTTCAGGCCAAAGTCAACAGCCTAGCCGAAGGAGACTACCTAGTATTCACCTGTAACATATGGCTAGACCAAACCAAAAGACAACTCCCAAAAGATCAATCCGACCCCAAAGTAACTGTAGAAAGTGGAAAAGCATTCCCGTATCTAGATATGGAACTGTTCTGGTCGGACCAGGAAGAACTTCACTTCCGAGTCCACCTTAAACCGAACCAACAACTGAAATATCTAAACAGGGGAACTACCCACACAAACGCATGCCTCAAAAACATTCCACTAGGGGTGTTCCAAAGACTCGCTAAACTCACTACAGTTACCAACAAGAATGCCAACCAAACCCTCGATGAGATCTACCCACTACACATCGAGGCGTTGAAGAAAGCTGGACTGGTTCCAGACCAGATACCAACACTACAAGAAGAAATACAACGATACTCCCAGCGACGAGAGGACAAAGCAAACGAACCAGATAGAGATGCCAAGCAACGAAAGAGGAACCGGAACCGATCATTATTCTTCTGTATAGGACACTCCAACGCCTGGACGACCCCAATACACAAGGTAATCAACGACCTCAAGAAGAGCCATGGCCTCGACTGGATTAGAACGTCCATGTCCTACCATCGATTCACCAACCTGCGAGAGATGTTCATGGGCGACCTATCGAGGAAGCTCACCAAAGACGTCATCTCCACCGAGTTCCAAAATGAAACCTGCAACTGCAAGCCAGGAAACAAGAAAGACGGTCAATGCCGATTTGACGACCGCTGTAGAAATAAACTGGCCATATACTGCATCAAATGCATTAACTTGGGCAAAGAATACGTTGGGGCAACCCAACGAAACGTCAAAGAACGAACATACCAACACTTCACCGATGTCATGCGTCGTCTCCTCTACGGAAAACGCAAGTCAGATTCATATGCAAAACACTTCGCCAACGAATTCCAAAACTTCGCTTCTCCTTCACCATTCCGACTTAACGGCGATATTCAAAGGAACAGCATCGAAATTAGCATCCTATGGCAAGGCAACCCCATCAGCACTGTCAAGACCTTTGGGACACGACACTGCAGCCTATGCAACAGGGAGCGACTCGAGATACTGAAAAGATCCAGAGAATTGCCAGAAAAGCTTATCAACTCCTACAACGAAATATACGGAGCATGCCGACATAAACCTCGATTTCATAAGTACAACAATAGCCCAAGCACTGATGATTCCCAAGGGGGATGAAAAAGTCAAACAACCGAAAAGTTACCACAGAGTCAAGCCTGTGTTTTGGCGATTCGGCAGTTTGTGCTGATCAAGAGTAAAACTACTTAATTCAGTCACTTTTTGCTAAAATCGTATGACCCGTACATGTACGGATACAGCAGACCTCTAAATCTTGCTTGGTGTGGACTTAGCAGCTCAAAAAGTGACATGGCTGTGAAGTGGTACCCGTGCTACCAGGTACAACTAACTTACAAAAAGCTGGATTGAACGTACGGCAGGCCACACAGATCCTTCCACTTCTTGCCAACAAACCGTCATATAAGAGTCAGAAACTCTGATGTCTCCTGCCCTTCCAGCTATCAATGAGGACTCCACAGCATTGACTATCACAGGGAGCCAGCAAGAAGGTTTTGATTAGCTTGATAGCATTACCAGAAGACCTGAGCTGAAGGTGACACAGTATCGAGCCGAAGAAACCATGGCTAGTATGGCCAAAGGGAAAGTATCAATCCTCTCGATAACTTTTAGGAGCGAGAGCTCTGGATCCCGTCAGAGATAGCTCCAACAGCTATGCTGGCCTACAGCTCCAGCATGCACAGTTGGCTTATCTCCAGCCAAAGCAGCAAGAAAGGATCGTCCTTTCTACCATAGTTAAGAAAATAGTACGAAAGATTGAGACCAATCCTGATTAGCTTGTAGCCCCATTGATACCGCAGCAGTTGATACCCATCCTGTTGAGGCCGGGCAGAAGCAGTAGGAGGTAGCAGATAGTACTGTTCCCAGACTGCCACTGCACGATTGAATAACGAAGGCCCCCAGCTCCTGAGGTGAGCTGCATCTAAGAAGCGCATTTTGGGCAAAGTGGATATTATGGGGAAGGTGCACAAAACGCTGGATCAAATTTTAGCGACTCATTTATGTGGGTCCCTTATCATGTCGAAGGGCATTATTTTAGCCCACATACGCCAAATCATGTACTCGTTCACAGCTCATATTGCCCAAATGAACAAACATAATGTCCCTGCGAGTCCGTCATATTTTTGTGAAGTGCGTCGAAAAAGTGTGCTCCGTACAGAGATCTGCGGTACGCCCCTTTATGCCAGTGCGTGGATATTTGGCGCAAATGCCTCCAAAAAGTAGCTTGGGTAAGTGATAGGCGGCACGTAGCTTTGCCGAGTCCCCGGACATTTTGCGCAAGTGCATACAATAGTGAGCACAAGCCGCAAAAGGGCATCACAGAATTTTACCCAATGGCGCTGAAATTGCATGCAAGACGCCAAAGATCCGTGCACAAGCCGACACAACATACCTACATTATCCGTCATTACTTTGCCCAAGTGAACATGACTACGACAACAATGACAAAGCAGTTTACAACTAGATAATCGTTAACTTAGTTATTAGCTCAAAGAACAGTACCATTTAGTAGGAGAGGGCAATAAAAAGCAGGGCTGAGCAGAAATGTCTTGGTTGTTGCAGAAACAGTTCGCAGAAAGTCACAGGAACGTACGCAAACACTGCAGAAGAAAGTCCAATTGGATGAACAGATTTGCCGACTTGCCCAAACCTTTTTCAGAAACCAGGCCAGAAGATCCATCAGAGGCCGAGAAATGCCCAAATGGGCCAAACAAAGATGCTCTCACATGTATGCATCGTCATCTTCATCGTCCAAGGTGGTAACCGTCTTGGCCTTTTTAGCCTGGAGCGGCTCAAGGCGTTCTTGGCTCTGCGCTTGTTGGCCTTGTTGAGTTTCAGCTGTTGCTTGTGGAGCCACAGGTGTGCCCATTTGCAATGCGCAAAAGCTCCAGAGTCTTCTGCTCCAGACTGATAATGCTGCCCGTGTGGGCACTGGAATGGGCTCTTTCACCTTTTTCTTGTATTGGTTGAGGCTTCCAAACCATCAGCTTCCCAAGCAGTATGCTCGCTTTGGCCAGCATCAACATTGGTGTACTTCCCTCCTTTGATGGGTTGGCCTCACCTGGGTGCTCCTTGACCCATTTGGTGCAGCTCGGTCCACTTGGCTTCATTGTTGTCCCAACAACAACAGCCTTGGCCTCATGGTGAGGGGTGAAAATGGGCTTGTTGGTGCTCGTTTTGGCTTCGCTGAGGTCTTGTAGAACATAACATTCTTGCCCCACTCAATGGCTCCGAAGACCTTAGGCAAGAACTCGCTCCAGTACCACATGAAAAGCTCCTTTCCTCTTCAACCTTGCGCAACAGGGGAAATTTGTATTTAAAAAGTGAGTCAAAATTTGGGGCATTAGCATAAAACAAATATGGACGTACCTCCAAATCAATTTGGCGACAAGCACACTTGAGGATCATGGCGGTAGTGGGAAGGGCCTTGCTCTATCCATGCGAGCTAAAAGCAACCTTCTTCAACGCCTGAGTAAGATAGTTGCGACGGCATTAATGCCCGTTACCACACGACTTCTTGTAGGTGAGGGAAAAAGCTTCCTCCTTTTCTGCATACCGTGCCAGCTCGACAAACCTCTAAATGTTTTGGTGACCTTCTTGCAAGCTCTGCGGTTTTCCTCGTCGTTCACCCATAAACTTACGTGGCGCCACAGCTCGTCTTTAATCAAAAGCCAAAATCTCGAGAGAGCCAAAGCCGAGTTCGGTTTGCCCTCTTGGCCCCTAGATCTAGCCAGGAGGTCAGACAACTTGGCTTGCAAACGAGCAATGGCTTTGTCCTTTTCGGCATTGCTATTCTCCAAGTTCGTCTTTTCAGCTTCCAGTTGGGCAATCCTCTTCGTGGAACCCCCTTTCTCGTGTTCCTTCATAACATGACGCATGTAAGCAAATTCCACAACGAGTTTGTCATTTTGGATCTGAAGTTGCTGGGCAATCTTGAGAGGAGCACCAGCATTGGCCCGCCTCATCTTTTCGCCCTTCACCTTGGAGGTTTCTTCCACCTTCCGCCGCAATGCCGTGATAAGAGGGGGCAAGACAATCTTCTTGGGTTGTTGGCTTCCAGTGTTGATGCAACCGGAGCTTCATTGGAAGGATTTGCAGATTGTTTTTGGGCACGTGCATCCGATGCAGATGGCTTTTTGGCCCCTTCACTTGTCCATTTGCGAAAGATTCTTCGTCCGTTGCAGCTTCAAGGGTTGTATCTCTTCTCC